CTGGTGGGGGTTGTCATCATTGAAGGGCTGATGAGAGAACTGCTCTGTCAAAGACACAGTCCTGTCTCATGTGGACATCTAGCCAGTAGTGTCTAACAAAGGTCGACAGTGAGGACCATGTGGCAGCTCTGCAGATGTCATGTAGTGGGATGCCTGCTGAAAGGGCAGTTGACGTTGACTGGAGTGTATGCTGTGGGCCCGTGATTGTGATGTGAGTTGGATGCCTGGCATCTCATAAGTAAAGCAAATAGTGCTGGAGATCCACTTGGAGTCTTTGTGGGAAGACAGGGCCTCCTTTTTTTGGTCCACTGCAGCTTACAATGAGATAGTTGGAGCAGCGTGTCCACTCCATTTCTGATTTATAGAAGGTTGGAGCCCTGTGAACATCATACAAGTGTAGCACAGCTTCTATGGGGGTGGAGAGCCTGAGGAAGAAGGCTGGTAAGACAATGTCCTGGTTCACATGAAAGACTGAAATGACCTTGGGCCTGAACTCAGGGTCAGGGCATAGCAGCACCTTATCTCTATGAAAAATGGGGTATGGTGACTTGGCTTTCAGCACAGAGAGCTCACTGGCACAGCAGGCCAATGTGACAGCAATGAGGTAAGCTGTCTTCCATGACACTAGACGTATGTTCGCTGTTGCCATGAGTTCATAAGGCCTTTTGGTGAGGGACTGCAGGACCACCAACAGGCTCCATGACAGGGGACATGGTGGGGACAATGTTGCAGGGGCCTCATAGATATTTGCATGCAAGGGTGTACATGAAGACCGAGGTTCCCTGGATTAGCGGGTAGAAGTGTGACATGATCACCAGGTACATGCATATGGATGAAGGGATGAGGCCAACACTGAAATGTGTCTGCGGGTGTGTTCTATAGAAGCTTCTTCTGGGGTGAGCCTAACAGTCGTGGCAAAGAAGCTTCTTCTAAGTGGAACACATCCCACTTAGCTCAATAGGATTTACAGATGGAGGGCCTAAGGGTCACCTCAACTATGGTGGAGACTGCTGGGTGAAGCGTGTTTATAACAGGAGTCACATTGTGATCTTCTAGACTGTCAGGTTCAAGGTCCTGATGTCAGGGTAGAGGAGACAGCCTTGTTTCTGTGAGATCAGATGACAGAACTGCAGCAGGCACATGATGTTTCTGTTGGAGAGGTGGAGAAGGCTGAGGAACCAGGGTTGATCTGGCCACCACAGGGTGATCAGGACGCAGTTCATTCTGTTTCTCTGAAGAAGGTGACCATCTTGGTGATCAGGGGAAGCGGGGGAAGGCATAATATAGTGTCTGGTTCCACCTGAGAAGGAAGGTGCCTCGCAGGCAGCTAGTCCCTTGGCTGGTCCTGGAGCAGAACTGGCGGCACTTGGCATTCTGGGGTGTAGCTAAAAGATCCACCTCAGGTGTTCCCCACCTGGCACAGAGGTCCCAGAAAATGCGACTACAAGTTCCCACTCATGTAGTATTGAGGTGGTACAGCTGAAGGTGTCAGCCAGAATGTTAAGCTTCCCCACCACATGAATTACCATGCTGCTGACATTCCTGGCTACACATGGGCCCCAAATGGTGGATGTCAGTGTGCCAAGGGGGTGGAATCGCATGCCCTCTTCCTTGTTCAAGTAATGTATGATGGTGGTGTTGTCCATTGTGATCTGAATGCAGCAGCCTATGAGGAAGTTCGGAAAGAACAGCAAGGCCTTGTGCACTGCTATCATCTCTAGTAGGTTAATGCGGCGGCAGGCCTTGTGGTTGTTCCAAAGACCCCAGGTGAGCATAGGTCTGTAATGTGCCCCCAGCTTGTGTTAGAGGCATTCATGGAGACAGTGGGTTTGGGGGGGTGGGGAGGAAGCCTATCTTGATGGTGAAGTTGGCTCTGGTGGACACCAACAGAGGCTGCATCTGACATGTGTTGTGGAGATCATGGTGTTGTAGGTGTCTCCATCCCCACTGTAGGCCTTGATGAACCACAGCTGAAGTGCTCTCATGTAAGATGGGCGAATCTGACTACTGATACCACAGTGGCCAAGAGTCCCAGGAGTTTCTGGATTGTGTGGACTATGACATGGTCTCTGGTGCGGACATCTGTTGCTAGGTCCTGGAGGGCGATTGCTTGTTGGTCTGGGGCAGTCAAACATAGAAGGCAGCAAAGGTAGCCAAAAAATAATGAACTCAGCAAAAGACTGAGCGAGAGCAAACAATTCCCAGTCTAAGCAATGGCAGTTGAAAAAGAACTGAAGAACTGGACAGGAGCACCTCCCCTTACATACACTGGAATCAGAAGGGAAGGAGCTCCCACCCACTCTGGCACACTGAGCTGATGAAGTTTTTTCTTCTGGCAGACACAGAAGCCCACATGTGTGATGCACAGAGACCAAGAAGAGGAATACACCCTTTCTTCTTTCAGATTAAAAACAAAAAGAGGTTTTTTTTCCTTCAATCAAATAAGTGATATCCCTTTCCAAGAAAAAAAAGGGGATCCTTCTTTGTTCTTCTGTTGTGAATTTAACACAAGTGTAACATTCTGATGTAGGAAGGGTGATATGCCTATATATTGTCTCAGTGTTTGAGTTGTACACACACTAAAAGCTGCTGCACATAGGTGAAAGAACTGCATGTAACTCTTGCTGCAGCTTTCTCCAACCTGGTGCCCTCCAGATATCTCAGCTTCCAGTCCAATCTATCCCAACCAGCATAACCAATGGTCAGAATCCCTGTGCACTCTTCTCCAAAATACCTGGAGGGAACAAGATAGGAGAATGCTGATCCAGTGGTACCAGTGGTGTTACAGTGTTGTGCCATTTTTTAGTAGCTGGTTGAGGAATGGTAGAGGGCAAGAATTCAAATACCCCTTTCCTCCCTCACCAAAGACAATGGTTGACATTACTACCAATCCATATGTTCAGCCAGGCAGATTGGAATAAAGATCGGGGACACACAGCCCACTCATACCATCAGTCTCAAATAGTAGTTTCCAACTCTGGATTGTTTGGCTCTGTTCCTTTGGAAAGACAGGACAATGTGAAAAATTCCTCACCAAGTTAATGGTACAAAAAATATGTTGAGGACCAGGGAAACAGGAAAAGAACTGCAGTGACTGGAACCAAATGGTGGCATGAAAGAGAGGAAACAATATGAAGTATGACAAGAGGCTACATGGGGGCATACAGGATTTTAGAAATGCCAGGCAACTGCCAGATTCATGTGTCAGAACTACCAAAACAAACAAATCTCCATAGATTTCAGAAGCTTTTAATACAGACAAAAACACTGATATATAATAATCCAGCAAAACTGAAATGCACCCCCACTTTCTGGTTTACGGCAGTCAGTATATATATTTATACTGCAGAAATGGATGCATTAATTCTTTAATTAGTCTATTAGTTCATTACTGGGTTTTCCAGTCACCAGTTTCAAAATTGCTCAAGGTTTTGCTTTGATTCCTTACAGTCTTGATTTTGTGAATGTTCTCACAGCATTCTTATTACAATATAAGCATGTTCAAACAAGACATACCAATTTATACAGGTGCACTACCACTGATGTAAAGTATTTCCTGCTGACCATTGGCATTCATTTTTAAGCTAAAAAAAGCCTGGGAAAAGGAGACACTATTTCCTAGATAGGAAAATATGAACAAATATTCTGCACAGAAAATTCAGATGGACATGTATACTGCACAATCTTATCAAGCCTGTTATAAGAGACACCGCATCCTAGACAGAACTTCAGCTTTCAGTATAACTGTGTACATAAGCCCAAACAAAACAAGATTCAGTAAACAAGCACTGAAAAATGAGAAGTCTAAACTAGAAATAAAGTGAAATATTTCAGCAAATGAAACCAATTACCTGGAGAATTTGATAGTTTCCAACACTGGGAAACTCTACTTCAGGGCAGGTTGTCTTTCTAAGAGTACTACAGCTTGAGCAGAAATGACAGACTGGATGATATGACAAAAAATGAAAAACATGAAACCTTCCCTCATTAGAACTCTTTGTCTGTGCTGTTTAGCTTATAATAATAAATAAGTTGAGAGCACTTAGGGATCAAAATGACTGAGACTAATTTAACCTACATATAATGAAGATGCCCAAATAAATATGGCCAGACATTTAGTTTGCTAAATGTGACTTATGTGAAACTAAATACCCCCACAAAAGTCAGAAATACAGAGGAGAGCAGCCTAGCTAATTAGACCAGAAAACTAGCATTATGCTAGCATTATGTCTCTTGCTATGATGGAAGAAGCAAACTTTGAGAATAACTTCAATTTTTTAGCAGTATATTGTTTTTAACAAGCCTCTGTAACCGGATACCTGCCCTCTTCTTATAAGATAATGGGGTAAATATATCATTTTATTTCTGATCAGTGTCTGTTTCACATGCATTCAGTCTTAAGTGTCTCTTTCGGATGTATTCAATCTTTTATCCAATTACCATATCAATCCAATCACACAAAAATTTGTATTAATTTTCAATATGCAATTTTCTACAACTAACACGTCTTATACAGAACTTCCTCTAATGTACACGTTATTGTAAAGAATCTTTGAGTCAAGAACAAGAACACAAAGTTTGGAGCCGATTATTAAGTAAACTATCCTAATATGAATACTAAGTTTGCTACAATTCAGTCAAGGAAGTGCATGATAGGCTAATTTGCTTAAAATGTGGACCAAATTAAATTCTTCCTCACCCATCACATAATATTATACTTGAAGCTGATTTTCCAGTGCCCCAGATTGAGCTACAGAAATCAGGGGAAAAAGCCCCCCCCCCAACATATATAATCAATCAGGTTATTAGCATGATCAGCATGAGCCAAAGAGCCACAGACAGTAGGAAGATGGATTAAGGGAAGTCAAGTGCACAGCTTTGTTCAACATAAATAGCTATTTCCAGAAGGGTCAAAAAACATTGAGGAGAAAATTATATACATGATTCTTAGGCATATAACTCTTGCCACTCCTGGAGAATGTCCACACTCAAAAACTTACATGTTTCCAAGAGATCCTTTATCTCAAGCTATTTTAAAGGGGTTGAAAATGGATTCAGCTGTATGCTACCTGGGCTGCGGCAGCTTCAGGAAAGTATGTACTTCACCTAGAAATCAGGAAGAGAAACTGATCAGGGAGACTGAGGATTTAAGTTGCAGGAAGATTTAAGTCCTGCCTTTACAGAAAGAAATGTGATTAATGACAAAAAGGTGCTCAACTCCTCTGGCATGAGGGGATACCAGAAATAGCCAAATAAGTTGTAAGAGGAAAGGCATACAAAAAACCAGTCAGGAATTGTCATGAATGAGTTCATATGTATAGTAATGGAAAGCCAGCCCAGAGACAGGATTAAGATTCAGAGGAATGAGGTGCGCCATGCTTTCAACACAAAGTCAAAAACCACAAGCATCCTGATTCAGGCACAACAGATTGAACATACACAGGTAACAGCAGTCATACTGCTTAGAGTGAGGTCTAGTCTTGGAAACACGGAACTGGTCAAGAGAAGTGAACAAAACCATTCGAGGGGGATGGTTTAACTGGGAGTCCTAGGTGGGGGGTTGGACCTGATGACCTTCAGGCCCCTTCCAACTCTACTATTCTATGATTGTATGAAATGTAGTAAGTATATGCCATTTGCTTAATTTAAATATTAGAGCATTTTAGTACCCCCCCCCCCAAATACATCAAGATTTAGGGCAGATTCTTGATGGTTTGACTGAGGCTATGGTCTGAAGGCACAGTGTCAAAGCTGAGCAAGTCTGGGGCTGGCCTGAGTGTGGAATGGAGACCACCTGGGGACCATCCATAGCCACCTTGAGTTCCACAATGGGAGAAAGGTGGGATATAACTATAATAAATAAGTAAATAGTTCTATCATGCTATACATGGTACAGACAGTATCAGAACACACAAACACATTTAAGGTACTGTACACACAAAAACAAACCGAAGAGAACAGGATTCCACTATGTCTCAATAGTGTAAATCAGGACTCTAGAAAGCTGTGCAAATGAACATAGTTCAATGGCCAAGTCAAAAGTAACATTCAAGGACTGGTTTCGGCCTGCCCTTGAAGGCACAGCCAATGAAATTCTTATTCTTTGTGTCTCTTACACAGCTGACCAAAAATTGTACCTCACAAGGTGGTGACTTCTCAAGCTCCAGATCTCATTATAGATGTCAACCTCAATTCTGCACAACATATTGCATGATACCTAAGCAAAAAATTCAACTCTGGATGACCAGTATTATGCCTTGTCACGAAAATCTTTCCTTGCTAATGCCAAGCACCTTCCATTAGCAATATAACAAGAGCCCTCCAGAGAATCTCAGATGATAATTGCTTCCATAACGTAACCAGAACATCTCACCAGCCTGCTGAGAATTGCTTAACAATTTAATAAAACATTGGGCAGTAGGAAGGTAATACAATAATTTCATGAACCAAGAGCAGATGAAACACGCAGTGCCATAAGATTATCACAACCCAGATTTTCCATATTTTTAGTGGATGGCAGTCAGGGAATTGAGGACAGTTGCAAGGACTGGAATGGACTAAGCAGCTCCGACAGCCAAAGCCACCCCATGTAAATTACATTTATTAAAATAAAATGTTTGCATTTTCTTTTTAATATGTATTGCTTTCTTTTTGTGTATTTCTAATGTCTGGTAATCCACTCTGGACACAAAGTCTCAGTGTAAAAGCAAGATTTAATTTTGATGATGAAGCATAAATAATACAGAAATAAACTTTGATCTTCAAAACATGGCAGCCTGCATACAAACACACATAAACACTATGGGCAGAACAAATGTATTTCCTTATGGTATTTTCTTCCTTGAAGGGAGCCCATGACTTCACTCACTAATTTATTAGCAGCACTAATAAAGACAGTTTGCTTATGTGTAACTGTCTTCCTTCAAGTGGTCATCTGTACATTCAACAGGTTCTGATGTACTTGCATGGACTCTGTTGGTGGGAAGATTCTACAGCTAATAACCATTCGAAGGGAACCCTCTCCATCACTGGTATATCCAGGAGTGGATCCCATCCACTTCCTATGTTTACATGAGACCATCAATGTGGCCTCAGGCCCAAGGGAAGATCAATTTGAACATCTGTCTTCCAGCTCAAAGTAGATTTCTGCATGGAATGCAGTATTAGTGTGTGACACCAAAGAGGAGATGGTGGAAGGGTTCTGTGAATGCAGACAGCACCCAAAGAATGACCATTATAGATAAGCAACTTGCCATTCTTCTTTGTGGTTTCTACATATCAAACATATGGGTAACTAGCAAACTTACCTTCCTGGAAAGTAGGTCAGTGTCATCACTGAAAGACTGAGGGGAGGCTGCTCTGAGCAGTCTGTTCTGGATCAGATGTTGAGTCTGTAGGGCTTCACAAATATTGATGGAGAAGACCAGACAGCCCCTCTACAGAAGTCTGGCTGGGGGATTCCTACATGTAGAACCATGGAGGTTGCCACTGTTGAGGTAGAATTGGCTTTTAGCCTTCCTGAGAGTACGTGGGTCAGTTGATAGGCCAGGAAAATTGTACTGAAGATCCAGGTTGCTGGCTTTGGGGGAACACCAGGTGTCATAGCAGATGAAGATTTTTTGCGACTGAATGTCAATCTTCTGTGAATGTCCAGCATATGAACTGTGGATTCCATCAGATTCAATGAGGCAGAAAGGGTGAAAGGGTGACATGACCTTGAGGAGGAAGGAAGTGTCTGGATGCAACCTCACCTTATCTCTGTGGAAGACTACATATGAAGGGTCAACCCAAAAGGTGCATCATTCACTGGTCTCTCTTCCAACCTGGAAGTATAGGAAGTGCCTGTACGAGTGTTCTATGGAGATGTGGAAGTAGGCATCCTTCAAGTTTATGGTTGTGAAGCAATCTCCTTGCTGCAGCAAGGGTAAGATATTCTGCAAAGTGTCCATGCAAAATTTATTCAGTGTAATGAAGGAGTTGATGCCTCTGTGATTGAGGATTGGTCAGAGTCCTCCAACCTGCTTCAGCACCATAAAGTATCTGGAGTAAAAGCTGTAGCAGAGCACATGGAAAAGACTTGCTCAATTGTTCCCTTGGAGAGTAATGACTTTACCTGCAACATTAAGGCTGCAGTTGGGTTTGTACTCCTCATGGTACTGAGCTGTGTGAGGGTGTTGAACTTGATCTGCAGCCTTTCTCCACAATCCAGGCATCCAATGTCATTGCTCCCCACGCAGGGAGGAAGGAAGAAAGATCGCAAATAAATAGAGGGGAGTGAGGATGGGGGCGGGGGGGAGCCTGGAGAAGAAGTCAACACTGTCACTTGTTGACATCATATGTCTGCGCCCTTGACAGAACCCATTAGAAGTGTCTCTTCTTTTGGTGTGTGTGTGGTAGGGGAGGCAAAAGGTGTTACTATGGTGCCTGGTCCACTTGGTCTCATGGTAGAAAGAGGTCTGTGTGCAGAAAAACCACTTGCGTAGTCTTAACAAGGATTGTTGGTAGATTCTCATCCTTCTAGCCATTATCCATACCTTTTGTATGGAATCCATGCACTCATATTAAAGAGACCTTCCCTATCATGAGTCAGTGGCTTCCCTCAGGTTCCAAAAACTCAAACAATCCTCTGAAATACAGTTCGCTCATTGAGACTCCACAGATAACAGAACTGTTTGAGCTCTGAACAGCTTGCTATCAAAGCTGGAAAAAACACTTCTCGTGTAAAGATTTGAATCCAAAGTGGAGACTTTCCCATGATCACTATCTTTTTGTAAAACTCCTGGCTCCACTGTCAAGGTGGTTCTCTCTGCTTGAGGACAAGTTGGTGCAAAGAGCAAAGCACACAGAGAATGTTGCTGCTGGATATCAAGGTCAACAGACTATGCTATTCACAAGATTTGCTCAGAGTTATTCCATATCCTCTGATAGCAATGCAGGGCCTTGGTCAGTGACAGCAGCATCCAGAGGAAAGATAGACTTAGGAGGAGGAAGCTAAGTCAGATGGGTAGTCTTCGAGATCCACAGAAGAAGGAGATGGTGGTCACAACATGGAATGCACAGAGACAGGCAATGATGATCAGTATGGAAGTACGGCAAGGGTAAGGAACATTCTGGAGGTTCCTGAAAGGTTTCTGGCTGGAGAGGCGAGGGCATCACTAGAGAGGGCCCCTACAAAGAGGGGCTGCAATCTTTAGAGGTGTTGGGTCACAGTGGGACTCCCCTCAGTACCTACAGTTGTAGAAAGCTTGATTCCTAGGGAGTCCTCATCTCTCAAAGTACGTTTGGTGAGTAGGTGGAAGGGACCATGTCAATGCTTCCAGTCCAAGGGCAGGCAGCAGTTTCATGAGGTGATTCCAGGGGTCTTAGTGATAGGAGGCTGAATGGAGTGCTAGCAACACCAAGGAGGGTTGCAGGGAACTCCAATAAGGAAAAAAAATCGCCTTAAACTTAGTGGAACAACCACCTGATGGAGCAAACCTAGTGAACACTCCTGCAACATTCCTTCATAAAATTTTGGGCTACTTTCCTCCTTCCACTGCAGTCTTCACACATACATGATTTAAGAGGGGTTCTCACCCTCCTGAGAAGGCATGTGTACAATGTGGGGTAGCAGAAGAGAATGCCTAATTGCTTAGCCTTTGAATCCAACCCATGAAAATCTGTAGTAATAAACGTAAGAAAAAATATCAAGATGTTTTTACACAAATTAATAGTAATGATGTGATACTCATTTAACCTGTAACTCCACAATACTGTTTGACTGTATGTATGCATGAGTGCATTATGCTATTATAGTAAAAAAAAAAATCTTGCCAAGATCATAGGCTTCAAAGGAAGAAATTAAAGACATTACAGATATTTATTGTTGCAAAATTGTGCCAAAAGTTACACACACTATATATGAGACAATTATAGGCAATGTTTAAGGAAGGAAAGCTTCACACTTTTAACATGATTGCACTTTCAAATATTTCATCAAGTTTGTTAATAACATCCCCTATTGGCAAAAATGACTATCTGTTAGCATTTCAATTTATTATTACTGTTCTGCTAATGAGAACACAAAGGAAATGTAAATGGAAAGCCATAAATATTCCAAGACTAACATTTGGCTTCCAGAATACAGTGCATTCCACACAAATACAACTGAAAATTACTGGAAGGCTTTAAAAAGCTGAGAAGGTGCCTTTGTAAGTATCAAACTGTGCCTTTTTTCCCCAGATCCAACTTCTATTTACTAAAATAAAAAAAATACCAAATATATAATGAATTCTTGAAGATGATACAAAATAGTGTAATTATTTCGATTAATAGAAGAGCAAATGGTCGGAAAGGAAAGGACAGGACAGGACAGGAAGGGACTCAGCAGTAAAAGTGAGAGCATAAAAGAAGACAGAGTGTCATTTTTTAAATGTTAAAAATACTGACCCTCACTACTGCCCCAGAAGGATCTATGAATTGGAGCCAGAACAATCAGAACTAAAACAAATCTTGTAAGTCACAGGAAAAGCTTAAAAGAATCTAGAAGGTCAGGGGCAGGTCTAAGGCTATGTTTAGAAAGACAGTTTGAACAGATGAATTCAAAAATATTTGGTCAATGAATCATTCAAATACTGGTCAAGAATTTTTGAAACCCTAGTATTAACAGTAAGTTTAGTACTTGTGCAAATTATTAAAAAACAGATCGCTGTCCTCAGACTTTACCAAATTTTCAATAAACATGCCTCTCTGAAATAATAAAAATAACATTTGGTTTAATAAACAAACATTACCAGTCACTGTGTTACTCATTGCACCTTCTCATGCCTAAGTGCTACATATACATCTGAATAATTCTGACCACTTCTAAGTGAGGTTCCCCCCTCTTCAACATAAGGAAAGCTTTGCCTTTTAACAGACTACCAAAATATCCATAAAAGGTCTGATGCAACTATATATGTACCTCCAAGAAGCTACTTGTTTCTTCTAAATGTTGGGAGAAATTGACTGAATAGAATTATTGTCTAGCGGTTGCTCATAGTTGCACTTTCATAGAAATGTTTTAATAAATAAATAAATAGTTTACATAAGAGACGAATACATGGAATGAACATGTCTTGTACTGAATCGGACCATTAGTCCATTTAGCCCACTAGTAACAGGCAGCAAGCAAACTCTTGGAACAAGGTTTCCCCAGAACTTTCTTCCTCAAGACTTTCCTTTGGAGAAGCCAGGAATTAAAAGCTTGAAACTAATACATGAAAAAGGTATACTCTACTACTAAGTCACGGGTGGTCCTCTCTCCACTTGCATGGGTATAACTTGAAGATCACATCCTACATGCCAAAAGCAGCAGCAACTTTAGGCCAATGGCTACAAGGGAGAGGATGAAGAAGCCAGTTGCCCCACAGAGGAATGTTTGCACATGTCAAAGACTGTGAAGGAAGCTTTGCACATATACAAGGCCTGCACATGCATAACCTGCCCTCCCACCCCACAGAGATTGTTACAGAGGAATTTCAGAAGTGCTGGCTCTCTGCCTTGTATAGTCTACTTTGCGTATTTAATTGACAGTACCCTGATACTTTGGTTAAGAATCCATGTTGGTTTCAGAAGACAGAGTAAACTGCCCAGAACACAGTAATGGCTCTGAAACCATCACAGACACAAACGAATCATTGAATGTGCATGCTCCATCCTAGATTAAAGGTGATTGTTCCTGTGGCAGGGAAAACATCTACCCAAGTAACTAGCCCTCAATGGTACCTTTGAATTGGCTAGTAAAAAATTCTGGAAAAAAAATCTAGTGCTTTCCTGAAGCATCTCAGCTCTCAGGCAGGTTAACAAGGTCAAGCACTACCTGAGCACACTTGATGCCATGTTTTGTTATGAATATTGTACTATACTATTCTGTACCACCAGTTAGAAGAAAATGCAACACGATGCAAATAAGTTTTATTTATTTATTAATTTATCTGAACAAAACTATTGTTCCCTTTGTTTTGACACAATCTAGCCCAGGCTCTGAGACACTAAGTGATGTGTGAGAAATACAGTTGGGGATGGGAATCCATAGGATTTCCTCCATTCAGCTCCCCAGACTCCAGCCCACTTTCTCTAAACCCTATATCCACCTCACGCTGAGCACACATGGGCATTAGGTAGAAGGCAAGTTCAACCAAGCTGGTATGCACAAAAGTTGCTCATGCAACAGAAGTGGAGTTTTGCTTCCACACACATAATTTGCAGGCTTTGCAAACTCGGCACAAAGAATTTGGTACTTTGTGCAATGAAGTTGCTAACATCCATGGACTTGCTCTTGGCTCAGCTCACTTCCTGGCCAGGGAAGACGTCCAGCAAGAGAGGTGGGATCCAAGCCACTAAGCCCTTAATTCCCTTTGTTTCAAATCCTGTAACTTATCTTGGAATGTCAGTATATTTCAGAGACCCCTCACACTGGTATCTCTCCACTCCAAGAATAACCCAGTATCTGATTAGGATGCAAGTAATTCCTTGTGACTCTTTCCAAGCATGACCCTATGTTCTACTCAGCTGTCTAGCCCAAATTTTCATGGTCAGCATCTTCCTTTGGGTATAATGCAGCATTTGTACTTAATATGGGATTGAGAGGGAGAGAGAAAGAGACAGAGAGACAGAATAATTACCAATCTTAAGTAAGCATCCACTGCGTCCCAAAGCTCAGTTCCATATGTGCAGCAACACAATTTGATTTTCAAGGCCACACAGGCATTTTCAAGTTCCGTGTGAGCTATGTTTTGAGCCATAGGAAGGTAGTCAAGAAGCAAGCTAAAAGAATTGGGAAGACACTACTAAAAAGCTTTGAGAAGAACGCACAATTTGTCAGATCTACTGAAACATCTAATGAGAAGTGTTATTTGCAAACCTCTCCATCTATATCTATTTTAAACTAAACTGTAGTACTCTGCAGTCCCCTATAATGGGTTAGCCTCCATTCAGCTTCCCTATCATTGTCATGAAAACTAAATTGTCAAACACATGCTTTTTTCCCTTTCCGGAAAATTTATAGTGGCTGAAGCAGACTAAGTCTGTTGCCCATTTTTTAAATTTGGAATTCAAGCTGTTAAACCCAAAGAAATCTGCATCCACAGCTTTTTAACAACTCTTGGCAATTAACCAGGGAATGAAATCCCTTCCTCTGTACTCAAGCAATCATAACCATCCCTGATATATTATTTATTTATTTACTGTCCAAAGACAACACTCTCTGAACAGTTTACAACAAAAAATAAATAAAATACAACAGATAAAACATATTAACAATAATTAAAATGCATTCAAAATAGCTTAAAAGAACATTAAAAGTCAATTTTAAAAAGACCCAGCCAAGAATAAAAGGAAAGCACCTGGTTAATCATGTCAGGCCTCTGAATGACCAGGGAGGTCTTTAAAGGCCTCTGCAAAGAGAGCTGTCTTAATCTGGCACTGAAAAGATGACAAATTTGACACCAGGCAGGCTGCAGTAGAGAGGTTGTTTCAAAGGCCCCACCACAGAAAAAGCCACCCCCCTCGTTGCCACCCTCAGAGCCTCTCCTGGGATTGGCAATGAAAACAAGATCCCAGAGGCTAATGTCCAGGTAAATTGGGATTGTGAGAGGTGTTCCAATATGTATCGCAGTCCCAAACTTTGTAGGAATTTATAGATTGAGAGCAGTTAGGATTGGGACTGGAAGCTTACAGGCAGCCAATGCAGGGGGGATAGAACTGGTCTTATATGTTTGGACCACTTGGTCCCAGTTATTAACCTGATTGCTGCATTCTGCTCAAGCTGCAGCTTCTGGACCATCTTCAATGGTAGTTCCATGAACAGTGCACTGTAATAATCTAATTTAGAGATTACCAAAGCACAGATTACTGAAGCCAGGCTATCTCTGTCCACGTAGAGGTGCAACCACCCGGCAATGCTGGTAGAGACATTCCAAGTCACTGATGTCTCCAAAGACTCAAATGACAAAGATGGATCAAGGAGCTCACCCAAATTACAAACCTGCTCCATCAGGGGTGTGCAACCCCACTGAGAACAGGCTGAACACTCTCCATCTGATCAAAGGAATCACCCACCAACAGCATCTCAGTCTCATTTGGACTTAGTTTCAGCTTGTTAGTTCTGATTCAGTCCATTATTGCAGCTAGACATCAGTTTAGAATATCCACAGCCTCACCTGCTGATGATGAAAAGGTGTGTTATTAGTATACCAATGACAACACACTGCAAAACTCTGGATGATCCCATCCAGCAGTTTCATGCAGATGTTAAATAGCATGAAGGAAAGAACAGAACCTTGAGAAACTCCATGCTGGAGAATCCATGGGGCTAAATAATATTCCCCAAACACCCCCTTCCAAAGACAGGCCTCCAGTAGGAGAGGAACCACTATACTGTAGGGTGATGGTATCAAAAGATGCCATCCAGCTGTATCAACAGGGTTGCATTCCCCTTGTCCTACTCCTGGCAACCAATAATGATTCTGTGTCAAAACCAGGCCTGAACCCAAAATGAAATTGATCCAGATAATCAGTTTCATCCAAGAGTGTCTGGAGTTGATTGGCAACCACCCACTCTAAAACTTTGCTCAGGAAAAGGAAGTCTGCTACCAGCCTATTGTTGTTCACATTTTCTAGGACAAGGGAGAGTTTCTGGAGAAGTGGTCTTATCACTGCCTCTTTAGGGCAGCATGGGACCACTCCTTCTCACAAAGAGGCACTGATGACTACCCCGGTCTAGCCAGTTATTCCTTGCTGGCTGGCTGGTTGGCTTTTATAAGCCAGGTGAAACAACAGAGGTGGTTACAAACCTGTCCAGATACCTTGTCCACATCCTTGGGCCATATTAACTGAAGCTCATTCAATAAAACTGGACCAGACTGTGCTCTGGATATCTTCACCAATTCAACTGCTGTAACTCCAGCAGATGCAACAAATTCTTTCCTGGAAGTGCCCAGCAAGAAGATAACAGCAGGCCAGAGATGGTCCCAACTCATCCCTGGGCCTTAAATGTAATAAACCTTGAAAAGGTGCACTGGGCGGCAAAGAGAGAATTGAACAGAAGCAGTGAGGTATTGTTTCTTTACCACCCTCACTACCTCAAAATATACCCAACCATAGGTACATGCAAGGTACCTGTTGCATTCACTAGAGTTCTTCTCCATCTGCACTCCAGCTGTCTCCTACATTGTTTCATCACTCTCAGCTCCACTATGCAGCTGTATGAGCTCTACACTTAGGAGCAATTGTGTCAACCACCCTGGTGATTTCTGCATTCCACAAAGTGACTAGGGCTTTGACAGCAGCACTAGCCATGTCAGCTGGAAAAACTTCCGCACCTCTCTTGGAAACCCACCTGCATGGGTGTCCTACTTTGGGGAGAGGAAAAGCTGCTGTAAGGCTAAATCTCACACTGAGTCCAAGTCCCTCACACTCAGAGCACCATCCTTATATCCAGCCAGGAAGACCAATCTAGAGTATGCCCCGCCACATGCATCGGGCCAATTAAATGTTGGGACAGTCCCATAGTTGTTATGGTGACCATGAAATCCTAAGCAACCCCAAACAAGGTACCCACAGAAAAACTGTCCTTTTCTCCTATTTTTGGCTCTATGCCATTGCCAGTAGTATTCACGCTTCCTTGGGGGTACGCCAATCCTGTGCTCTGCCATTTCCATAACACCAGCTTCCTTATTTGACAAATACTAATTTCCCCAATACTTGTCTATTATTGTCTTTTCTACCTAAGGCAATTATAATTGGTATGCTGGATCATCCGCTTTGACTGAGTAAGCGAACCATTTTTCTCCTCTGTACCAAATGTGCCTGTCTATGCTTTTGGAGCCATTTTTGAAGTATTGTGCTATTTAGAAAGCCTATGCATTTGGACCCTAAATAAGTATTTAAACTAATTTCCTCTGTTAAGAAGATTCTGTTTTCCCCATCTGCAAGATCATAGGGCATAATCTGCTATGCATATACCACACTTCTGGTTAGACCCTTAAACCTTCAGATCTCATTAGCTATTACAAACATATGCATGCAAGTTATGTTTCCAGTGAACAAGGATACACAGCAACAGAAGAGCAACCCCACTACGTCACAGTAAAGGACTATCTAGCCCAGCATTCTGTTTGAGGAGTGGCCAACCAGATACCCTTGGGAAGCCCATAAGTACAGCAAGAGCACAATAGTGCCCCCCTGCTTTTGCTCACCAGGAGCTGATTTTCAGAGGCGTTCTGCCACTGAGAGAAGGTAGGGTACAGCTGCCATGACTAGTAGTCATTGATACCCTTCTAATCCCCTTTTAAAACTATCCAGGCTGGTGGTCACCATGATCTATTGTAGCAGCAAATTCCATAGTTTAACTATGTGCTGAGTGACAAAGTACAAAGAGCAACTTGCAGCTGAAACATTACAAGATGGCCATAGCAAGGACAAACTGTCCTCTGTTTTGACATTAACTTTTTTTACAAATGTTTCCTACTTACTTACCTTGCTGCTGTTATGAAGACTGCACCTCTTAGCCACTCTCTGAATTTGTTTTCAGATTAAAAAAGCTTCTGCATGTTTTACTTAGAACAGGCACCCTGTCACCTCACAACACAGGGAGGTTCTGATTCATGAGAGTCATTCATCACAGGGATGTCATATAATTTAAAATGTTTTCCTCTCTAGTGATTTGCCATAATAAATCCCACTAGGACTAAAAGCAGAAGATTCATGCTATGGCGAAAATCTACAGTCACGTCATCTTGCAAGTTGGAGACTTGTTATTAAACCTGTTTGCAATTTATTTCCTCACGAAGCCCAGTCTATGAACTACAGTATCCTGTTTGTACAGAGATACTGCCTCACCAGTAATGGAGAATTGCAGACCCCAGTTCCCTTTAATACATTTAACAGTAAAAAATAATCTAAATTAGTAGCTTGGTTGGCGGGTACTAAGAAGTTTTTGAAATGAAAAACGAAGGCTACTTTTGGAAAGATGAAACAGCAAGCCTGTTTCCAAACTGACTAGGAAGGCATACAAGTTAGTCCAATAAATCCATTTATTTGATAAACAGATGGGCAGCATCAACTACTAAATATTCTCATTTTTAAAGGCATATTGGGTTATTTCTGTTTGCTCTCAATTCTATACCTTTTATCACTTTCAGTTCACATTAGCATTCTAACTCCTCTGCTCACAGAAACCAACGAAAACAAGATCACATTCCCACCCAAGGTCAACTTGCCAGAATTCAACTTAGACATCATATTAAAATAGAATATGATAGATGAGGGAGAATCTAGACTTGTTGTATGCTACAGATTAACAAGTCTCTCAAAAGCTTGACTGCACATAAAACAGACAACCAACATGCCCCTTTCTTCTGTCTCTTCTAATCAGTTCTTCAGACAGAACTCTTTTGTTTGCCATGACACTGGCACTAAAGTGACATCCAGCTGTACATCTATTTACTAGCATCGCAAACTGGTAATTTATATTTGGAAGTCTCATTCTGTCTACTTTCCTATCAAGAAAGAGTTCACCTGCTCGGGCAAGGAACTCAATAATATAATAGCCTGGGTTGGGTCCCACTGTGACCTATGACAAAATCTCTCAAATGATTCTTACCTTTGAGTATTATTACCTTATCTGAAATATTATTTGGGTATAGCGCCTGCATTTCTTTCCTTAAAACATTTTTAGGTCTCCTTAAAGGAAAAACCTCTTTCAAGGTGGCTTACAGTAATACCCAACACAATAAATCTTCAAATTAATTTAGTTAATAAAATACAGCAATAAAAGAAGACAAACAACAAGCCCAGAAAATAATACCTAAAAGCACTAAAAAGGTACCACCAGTTTGATTAAACATAAATGCAAGTAAACAAATAGGGCTTTGGCTTCTTCCTGAACTGCTTGCAATGATGGAGTATGATAGATCCCAGACAGTAAGCATTCCAAAAACATGGTGCCAGTGCAGAAAAGGCCCTCTTCCTTGTACCTACTAACCTGAGTTCCTTCAAAGGCAGGCAAGTGAAAAGGGCACAGGTAGGCTGATATAGATGAAGGCAGCCCTTTGAGTAACTCAGATCCAAATCTTTGGAGGCTTTGAAGAATACCACTGGAACTTCAATCTAGACATGCTGATAACTAGCACAGCTGCACTAAATACAGCAAATCCATCAATACTCATCATCATTATTCATTATGATGAATTAATAAACAAACAAGAAAATTAATAAATAAAATAGCAGTAGTAAAATT